CCCCGAGTTTCATGCTCACTAAGCTCCAGTGGAGGCTGGGGGACAGCAGGTGGCCGGGGCTCCAGGCAGCACAAGGTGATCCCAGCGAACGGCGCTCATGAAAGACCACCCACCTCTCCCGAGCTTTGCAAGCCCACGCTCACCACGTGCTGGAGCCTCCTGGCCGCAGCGCCCACACCTGAGAAAAGCAGGCGTGTGGGCTCAGGCATCTGGGACACCGCCCCCTCTACCAAGGAGAACCTGCAGGCAGCTCGAGCCAGGCAGGGGTTTCAGTGTGGCTTGAGGGCCCCCAGGTGGGGTCCCTGTGCCGACTGCGGGGTCCAGGACCTGCCTCCAGCTGCCTGCATGGCACCCTAAGCTGCACGGGACTGGGCCTCAGGGGAGAAGCCCTGAAGAGTGTGAGAGACCCCAGGATACTAAGGAGTTTCCAACAGACCAGCAGAGAAGCCACTTGTGCCCAATGCCCCACCCAGAGGGGCTCCTCAGGCCACTCCTGCCTCCTGGGGTCATCACCCACCTTCTGGTCGGCTCATGGACACGACCCCAGGAACCCAAACCCATCAGGATTCCAGCCCCCCACTCGGTGACAATGTATGGACACACCTGCCTCTCCACCTCTTCTCCAGGCTTGGGGACGACCACTGAGGTCCTGGTGACCCACTGAGGGCACACGCAGGAGGTGGTGCCCAGAGCCTGGAGCAAGTGGACCTGGTGCTCATAGTGTCCTGCAGCTCTGAGAACCACAGGAGACAGCCCCAGGTGCCAGGGGCCCTCGGCCGCCAGGTGGCTGGGCATCTCAACCAGGCTGTCAGGGGCATCCCAGCAAGCACTGGGCCTCCCCCCAGCTCAGAAGTCAGCCCTGGGGCCCTTTCCCGTCAGCACACGTGGGGGCTTCACACTACCGGGGAGCAAAGCACACACAGGGCTCAACAGTCCCTCTGCTCCCCCAGAGCTAGTAACTGAAATAACGGGCCTCACGTTCCCAGCCCACAGCCTGGGCAAACCTTGAGCACGTTACGCCGAGTGCGAGAAGCCAGGTGCAGGTCGTGTGCGTGTGACCACAGCCACAGGAGATGCCCAGCACGGGGGTCCACGGAGACAGACGGTGGCCAGGGAGCTGCTGAGGGAGTCACTGCTGACGTTCTAAAAGGGGCTTTAAGCGGGTGAACTATGGTATGCAAGTCGTATCTTGATGAAACTACCTAAAGAGAGCACCTCGAGGAGAAACAGGTGCGCGGGCACCTGAACCACAAGCCGCCTCCTGTCCTCTCTCCTGCCGTCAAACCAGCCCCAGGGGCGCCCTTAGACGGAGCTCCAGTGCAACCCCGGCGCCAGGAGCCCAGGCAGTGGGGGTGCTGTTCCCCGGTCAAGGCTTTCAGGAAGCAACAAGGAAAACTTCAGGGGTGGGACAAAAACTCCCGACTAACCAGCACGCGTGTCTCCAGGCTCCACTCACCCCCCACCCAGGAGCTCAGAGGAATGACTCCAGGGCGGCCCACGTGGCAAGGCCTCAGGTAGGACGGGCCACGGATGGCCCACAAGACCATGGAGGCGGGGAAACGAGGGGGGCAGGCTCAGAGCGCCGGGACTGGGTCCCTGCAACTCTGAGAACCACACAGGACGCGTAGAGGCTGCAGGCCGAGGTGGACAGCGGCTGTGCGCTGGGTAACAGGGGACTGCTGCCCCCACCCCCGCGAACACTCGGCTGCTCCCGCGGGGGGGATGATTCTCATCTGCCGAGGCCCGGTCCGTCCCCTCCGCCAGTGACGCCCACACACGGGGAGCAGCAGGCCGGGCCCGCGTACATCATGCTCACAAGAGGCAGGATCGCCCGGCTGGCGTGGCTCAGTGTTTGAGCGAAGACCCATGAACCAGGAGTCACTGGTTCAGCTCCCAGGCAGGGCACTCGCCCAGGTTGCAGGCAGGAGCCAGCCAATTGATGCATCTATGCCTCTCCCCTAATCTCTCTAAAATCAATAAACACATTTCTTAAAAAAAGGCAGGACCAGCTCTCAGTCCCTAGGGCGAGGCCCGAGGCTCTCGTGGGCAGCAGAGTCCTGGCACCACACGCACACACACACACACACACACACACGCGCACACACACACGCACACACACATGCACGCACACGCACACGCACGCACGCACACGCGCACACACACGCACACACACGCACACACAGGCGCTCACACGTGCACACACGCCGTCAGCAGCGGGCAGGTGTGTGCGGTGTGCCTCCAGGCTTGCCCACCTGACAGGAGGAAGGGTGGGGCTCCGAGAGGTGAGGCTCACCCGAGTGTCACACCCACACCCACCCCAGGGTGCTTCCCAGAAGCTGCCATTCCTGACCGGCCGGGAGCTGTTTTCCTGTTTTCTTTACTAACAAGCCAGTGCCCTGTTTTCTTTTCCCTCCTTATCGGAGTTACACGTGACCTTAGCGAGCAGGTGTCCTGGGCCTGGTCTGTGTCACCTGCTGGGGCCGTGCTGAGTCAAGTGTATGGGGTCGTGCCCATCAGGGGTCCCGCTGTCCTGAATCCTTGCCCCACTTGGCGCACAACGCCCGACGCTGGGCGGGAAGCTGAGACAGGACACAGGCTGCCCTCCCTCGCCCTCCAGTGCCATCTGCCCCGCACGGCAGGGCAGCTGAGAGGCTGCATGCCCAGAGGCCTGGGCCCAGGCGGACGGGCAGGCAGTGATTAAAACAGTCTGGGGTCACCGCCGAGGCCGGAGCGCGAGGGGGCGGGTACAGGCCACGTGGGTCTCTGCTCTTTCGGTGGAGAGCTTTCGAGCGCCCCACTGTCGCTCCAGCTGGAGCCCAGCGCCCGCGGACGGGCGGGGTCCTACCTGCAGCTCCTTGTCCGAGTACTTCTGGGGGTTTTTGCTGCCCTGGCTCTTCTTACGCAGCTTCTTCAGCTCGGCCTGGCACTTGTCCAGCGCGTCCCCTTTGCTCCTCTGCTCCGTCTGGTACTTCTTCAGCGCGGCCTGGCGCACACAGGACAGGACACAGAGCGGCCGATGAGCCCCCCGGCTCGGGGACAGAGGCCCACACAAGCCTCGGCACTCCCAGCCCCCGACTCGCGTCACAAACGCCAGCAGAGCCTGGCTCCGGAAGTGGGTGGGCATGAGGGGCGCGGTGGAGCGACCGCGGGACAGGGAGCCTGGGTGGGCTCCACGGAGAGCGACATCCTGCCCCTTTCTCACTAAAAGCAGCCCGGAGGCGGGTTCAGGGGAGCCGGGCACGTGGGTCACCCGCAGGACTGGTTCTGTCTGAACGGGCAGGAATGTCGGGGTGGGGGGACCCCTGGATGGGGGCTCAGAGAAATCGGGAACCTCTTAGAGGGAGGGAAGGACACAAACACCAACAGGCAGGGGCGGGCGGGGCTACTTACACTCAGGTACCTGGAGTCCAGCTCCACCTTCTGCTCCAGCTGTGTGAGCAGCTCATTGTGAAAGGACTTCAGCTGCACCGGGAGAGAACACGCGTCGGTCAGTCCCGACGTGCGGGCGGGAGCACCCCGAGGGGGGGAGACGGAGGCAGGACCCCCCCTGGGGAAGGAGCAGGGGCATCCCCAAGGGGGAGAGGGGCCCGGCTGATCTGGGAGCCGACCACCCTGCAGGGACGGGTGGGCCCCTCGGAGCCAGAAGTCTCTGGGAGGAGGGAGCAGAAGCCCATGTCCGACCTCCCTGGCCTCCCGCAGGCCCGTCTGCCCCGACCCAGGGCCATGCTGGGCAGCTGGACTCACCATTTCTTCCAGCTGGTTCTGGATCTGCCTGTGGACTTCGGCCATCTGGAAGAGAACATCTCCTGGACACAGGACGGCAGGAAAGGAAAACGGTTAGGTCAGGACTCAGTCGACGTCCCTGTCATCCTACTGTGGCTGAGAAGTGGGGCACCAGGCCCGAGGGGCCACCAGCTGGCAGGCAACCCGTGATGGGCACCCTGAGCGCCTCTGGGGACCCAGGGCACCAGCCAGTCTCTCAGGACGCTGGCACGCTCTCCCACATTTGCGGGAAGGTGTCCGCACAAAGGTGCAGTGGTCACCTGGAGGCTACTTCCAGCCTGGACGTGAGGGAGTGTGGGTGTGGAGGACCCGCCCCCCCCAAATGGCTGTGGTCGGGGGGGCTGGAACACGGTCTTGGCCGCATTCGTTTGAGCTGCAAATATTTGCTGAGGACCATTTTCTCTGGCAGGCACAGCATGTGCTGTGGACACAAGCCAGATGCCCACCTTGAGATGTTCCTCGAGGGCAGCCCCTTCCTGGCGTGTCCTGTCTCTGAGTGCTGCCCACACCAGGATGTCCCTCCCCTGCTCTTGGCCTGGCCCCTGGGATCACGTGACCCACAGGGTCTTTTTGGAGGCAGCCACAAGGAACATCTCCAGCCCCCAACGAGGCCACGCTCCTGGGACACTGCAGGAAGCCCTAATGGGATGGCAATGCCCTCTCCAAGACCACACCCCACCCCAGAGATGACCCCATGCCTCCGAAGAGGGGTCACGTCCCCTCTCTGAAGCACGGCTGGGTTCTGGGAGATCCAGCTTCTCCTAGTCATCTGGCCCTTCCACTGGCTGCTGACACTGTGTTCGCCCTGATGGCCGTGGGTACCTGGAGCACCGACCATGACCAGCGGCCTGTAGAAGGATCTCTGCCCATTGGCACAGCCCTGAGCCCACCAGCTGCCCCCTGAACAGTGGGACAGGCACCCACCCTGCAGGCCAATGGCTCTGCCTCCTGGAGGCCCTGGGCTGTCAGAGGTCCCCCAAGAGTGGCTGCAGCCGTCCAGGCCCCCCACCCACTGTCGGGGCCTGAGTTACTCTCACTCTCAACACCACTGGGCCACGTTCCTGAAAGTCTGGCTGCACAGATTTCAGTTGAAGGAGAGGAAGGGACGAGACGTGGGTGTGGCCCAGGACAGCCCGGAAGACGAGACCAGGCTGCCACCACCTTGCCCTGCCTGGTACAGGCCCAGCGGGGAGGGAACCCCAGAGCACTCTCCTCAGCCCCCCGCCCTGTCAGCACCCCCCGGGGGGCTGAGGCTCCTGGGCACTGCCCAGGGCGTAACTGTGCCGCTGCTCCAAGCTGCTGAGAGAACTGGGCACGCAGGAAACCCAGGCACTCGGGTCAGACCAAGAGCCCGGAAGGATAGCACCGGGCCCCTGCCTCTCCGTGCTTTTCAGAGCCTGTAAACTTCCCAGGGTGACCGCTGAGGCTCCGGGATCAGAAAACCGCCTGGAGCCCCGTCTGTGTTCCTGAGACTCGGCTCTGGGTCCCCCTCCCGGCCCTCGGGGCTGCAGGCTCTGGGACTTGGTTACACTGAGGCCAGGGGTTGGCGGTGCCACGTGGCCCCAGGGCAGAGCCCTCACACACCCGCCCGCCCTGTGACCCCATGACCCTTGTGAGGGATAACAAATCCGTAACTAAGACGCAAAGCAAGCGGCGGTGACGGTCACATGCGGTCCAGCCAAGGCCCCACCGGGCAGGGTGCACGCCAGCAGCCACACAGGCCCCAGGATTACACGTTCACTACTAGTTCAGAACGTTAGAAAAAGTCAAGAATCGTGAGTAGCAAACCCTTGAGAGAGAGATTTCTCGATGCCAACAGAGTACCCGAGGCCACTACACGGGCACCGTGGACACGCTCAGGCACACGGCAGTACCCCAACCAGCCGGAGCCCCACCCTCGGGCCCACAGCACAGCTGAGTCCTAAACTCAGAAAGCCAGTTTTAAAACAGCAGCTCGGGCGCAGCCTCCCAGAGTGGCTGCACCAGGGGCTCAGAGCCAGGAGGCTCCGACAGACGGGCGGCCTCGGCCCCCACCCCACCCAGTGTTTACCCTGCGAGTCCAGCAGCCAGGTCAGCGGTGAGTCACCCCCCGGCACACTCTCAGCCCGGGGGCCCTCGGGAGCCTCAAACATGGCCTTTCATTTTCAGGTTGGGAGTGAAACTCAATCCACGTGGCAACGCCCTCCCCTAACGGAAAAGCAGAGGCCGGGGCAGCCATACACACGTACACACAGGCACACACACACAGGCACATGCACACACACAGGCACATACACACACACACACACAGGCACACACACACAGGCACATGCACACACACAGGCACATACACACACACACACACAGGCGCACACACACACACAGGCACATGCACACACACAGGCACACACACAGGCACACACACACAGGCACACACAGGCACATACACACAGGCACACACACAGGCACACACACACAGGC